CGTCCATGCAGGTAAACTTGCCAGAGTCTAAAAAAACAGGCTCTCTCCGTCGCACGCCACCGCCCTGAGCTCCGACGGCACGGTGGCTTCAAGTCGGGCTTGCCCCTCAAAACGACGCGAAGATCGAGACAAAATCCCCTCAAAACGACGCGAAGATCGAGACAAAATCGGATCGGGATAGCTCGAAATCTCTGAGAGTCGGCGGGTTTGGAGGATGCATTGGGCGCCGCGGCCGCTCCAGAGCGTTCCGGAACGCTCTGAGAGCGCTCCGGAACGCTCTGGAGCGATTTACCCCGATCTTAGCCCTGTTTTAGCACGGTGGCTTCAAGTCGGGCTTGCCCCTCTGCGGGGGAGATGTTCCAGAGTACAGTGCCGCTTTTTTAATGCATGCTCCGCGTGCGGATCATGCATTGAACATGCAGGGATCTAGTACGGAAAACAACGATGTGTTCATGCATACATTCATTCATCAATTAGTTGTGGATTAAACATCCAATATCTTTAACAATCCTATGTATTAGAAACTGCCCTGTAGTCAAAACATAGTCTGACGGTAGCTTCGCGTCGCGTCGACCGGTGGCGACGCCGCCGCTGGCGTTCAAGGTTGAAGGCCAGCGGCGGCCCAGAATCGGTCGATGTTGAACGATCTGACGTTTCGGAAACGGCCGCACCTTTCAAGGCGGGACGATCCCCGCGCTGTCAGGAGCCGTCGCTGGGGGTTGGGACGACACGAACCTGCCGTATTTGTTTTCTCGATCCAGGCGTTGTGGCCTCGGGTTCGGAAGCCGTGTCCCGTCGTCGGGCCCCAGGGCCCTCAAAAAAGTGGCCACGGGCGAGAAACTGGACAAGGGAGAGTGTTCGGGACGTCTTGGGCGCGGGTTGGGACAAAGCATATCGGCGGATGTCAGGTCTCAAGGGTTCGTTGGACATGATTAGTTTCGCTCGTTCGGCCCTGTTCGAGCATCTCAAGAGCAGGGAGATCAGAGGGCACGGCCGCCGATTCCCTTCATGCAAGACGGTCCTTCGCGACCCTGCGCGAGCTGGGCCTTGTTGCAGCTCCCGAGTTTTTTGACCGATCCCCATCCCCACTGGGTCCAGGTATCTCAGCCCCACCAGCCCACCCCGCATTTGGGGATAGGCCCGCGAAACCAGGAGGGAACACCAGACATCCCCACCTGGCCGGTGAAGTCGGCCGGTCGGGCCAAGACCATGCCACTGGGGACGAGGATCGGCTAAACGATGCTCGATCGTCCCCCCTGCCTCCCCCCTCCCCCCCTCCGCTTTCGAGCTGGTTGCAGCGCTCAGCGAGTTCGCGTCTGTGTCTCGGGCGCTATCCAGTTGCGCTGCCGCGCGATTCCGCCACCGCGCTCGGGCGGGCGGGGTGGGGGGGGCGCCTAACGTAACGGACCTCCCCTTCCGCAAGCTTTGTGCGTGGGGCCGATGTATGTTTGGAGGGCCAAAACAGCAGTGACCTTGGCCACAAACAGGAACGCGTCCTGTGATCGTTTGTTCATTCGCTGTTTTGCCGATCGGCGCGGGACACTTCCGTGAGTTCTTGTTGGAGAATTTGATGACGAATGTGCGCAGCGCAAAGGCGGGAAACACATCTTGAAAGCGGCCCGCCCTCCATCCGTGACATTCTTGCGAACTTTTGAGACGAATGTGCGCGGCGCGAAGGCGAGAGCCACACTTTGAAAACGACCTGGCTTCCATCCGTTCAACTTTTGGAAACTGTTGAGACGAGTGTGCGCGGTGCCTAGAGCGAGAACCGTATTTTGAAAAGGAAACGCCCTCCATCCGTGAAGCATTTGCAAACACGAATGTGTGCCGCACCAAGGCTAGAGCAACATTTTGAGAACCACCCGCCATCCATCTGTGTAGCTCTGACAAACTTTGAAGACGAATGCGCGCGGCGCGAAGGCTAGAGCCACATGTCGAAACCGACCCGCCCTTCATCCGTGAAGCTGTTGCACACTTTCTAGACTGATGTGCGCGGCGCTAAGGCGAGACCCACATTCTGAAAACGACCCGCCCTCCATCCGCGAAACATCTGCAAGCTCATATGACGAGCGTGTGCGGCGCTGCGGCGACTTTCGCACGTTACGAACGACCCGTCCTCCATCCACGAGCGTCTTGCATACGCTCAAAGCGAATGTGCGCGGCGCTGAGGCGAGAGCAACATGCTGATGACGGGCCTGTTTTCCACCACCACCACCATAAGTTGGAGGGGGGAAGGAGGAGGAGGGCGAGGAGGAGGAGGAGGAGGAGGACGAACAGGAGGAGGAGGAGGAGGAGGAGGAGGAGGAGGAGGAGGAGGAGGACCCCCCCCTCCAACTTGGTGGTGGTGGTGGAAAACACGCCCAGCATGCTGAAGGCCACCCAGGGCCCTCCAGAGGGGCGCACCCCGCGGGGGCCTCGACGGGTGCATCCGATGGCTCCTCGGAGGACGAGGCGGTGCTGCTGCCGCTGCCCGCGCCTCGTCGGCCACGGCCGGGCTCGCCTCGAAGCCCTGGTGAGCACGCGCCCCGGGAGACTGGGAGGAATGGGTCGGCAGGAGGAGGAGGAGGAGGAGGAGGAGGAGGAGGAGGAGGAGGAGGAGGAGGAGGAGGAGGAGGAGGAGGAGGAGGAGGAGGAGGAGGAGAGGAGGAGGAGGAGGAGGAGGAGGACGAGGAGGAGGAGGAGGGCGCCATCGACAGGGAAGGTGAGGGCCACGAGGTCCGCCGGCTCGACGCCCGCGTCGCCCGCGCCCGCCCCCTCACTCTTATCCGCAACTGCGGGGTGCTACGCACCATGGCAGGGATCGTGATCTCCCCAGATTTCTCGGGAGCCTCGAGACGGGGGTCCATGCAAACGGGGGTCAGCCAGAGCGCCCGATCTTGCAGGATCCTGCAGGGCCAGGGTCGCACCGACCCGAGCTTGGGTGCAGGACCTTGCATGATCTTGCAGGATCCTTGGCGCTGACCCGGGCTTGGGTGCAGGATCTTGCAGGATCTTCCAGGATTCTGCAAGGCCCGACAGACCCAGGCCTGGATTGACCCGGGTCAGATCTGGACGCCGGAAATGGGTACCGAAAGAATGGGAACAATGCCCAACAGCAGTTCCTGTTCATTCTGAACAGGACTCGCTGTCCGCGCCGCCGCGGCCTGTGTCCATTCGAGACAGAAGGCCGCCTGCCAAACAGCGGCTGCTGTTGGTTTGGGACAACATTTTTTGTTGGGCATTGTACCCATTCTTTCGGTACCCATTTCGGGCGTCCAAATCAGAGGATCCCCGAGATTTCATGGCGCCTCTTCTTCCTTCGCTGCGTCCCTTGGCCCCCCTGGCCTCGTCCACGCTCGTGCCTCGGGCCAGGACCTGCGACCCCCCCCCTCTCTCGGACGCCCCCCTCGCCTGCCCCCGAGCTCCCGCGTGGCTCCAGAGGGCGCCGACGGGTAGGACTTCCAGCTGCCGGCCGCGTCCGGGGAAGTGCCAGGGGAGTCTCCAGGGAGGCCTCCAGGGAGCCGCCATATCGGCCCCCCCAGGGGGGCCCGCGAAGGGCCTGGCGAGCCCTCCGTGCGGCATCCGTGGGGCTTCGGGCCGCGTCCTGGCCTCTCGGCTCGCGCGGGCTCCCTGGGCGCGGCCGGCAGGGCTCGGGGCGGGTGCTGCGCGGACCCCTTCGCGTGGGAGGGCACTCGGCCCAGCTCAGAGCCCCGAATCATCAGGGGTAACTCGGGTCAGGGTTAACTCGGGTTCGTTTTTCGGGAGTCCGAACCCGAGTTACCCCGGACCCGAGTTACCCCGGATATTTCGGGCGACCACCTCTCAGCGCCGGGTGGCGCAGACCCCGCCAAAGCCCTCCTTAGCGCCAGTCCGAGGCGGGAGTTTATCCATATCCACCGCCTGGAGGGTCAGTTTTCGGAGCCTCGGCAGGCGGTGGATATGGACATATTCGGGCCGCCGGGGGCCGAACTATACTCACATCCACCGCCCGCTGGGGCACCAGGACGGCGGTTCCCAGGCGGTGGATGTGGATAAGTCCCCGCCTCGCACCACCTCTCGGAGCCGGGTGGCGCAGACCCCGCCGAAGCCCTCCTCAGAGCGCCAGGGCGCCGAGCTTCTCGGGCCGGACGAAAGGGGGGGATTAAGCAAGGGGGGGTACGAAATCTGCTGCATGCAGCTGGTTTGGGCTCCACCGAGGGGCCCATTCCTCGATACATGGCTGCCTCCGGCGCCGGGAGGCGCCGGGAAAATCAGCCACGCGAGCTGATTCTCAACCCCCCCCCTTTGCTATCCCCCCCCGTTCGCCCGACCCGAGCATCGGGCTGCGCAGGCACTGCCGAGGCCCCCCCCCCCCCCGGTGATGGCGGAGGAGCGCCCAGCTGGCCCGGCCCGGCGAGGGGCCCCCGTGCGGTCCCGGGAGACCTCGGCCTGCGGCCGCACCGCGCGCGGCGTGCGCTCCCGTGCCCCGCCCGAGGGCGGGCGGAGGGCGCTTCCCAGGCTCACCACCCTCCAAACCACCCCAGCCCAACCCGGAGGCTTCAGTTTTAGGGGCAAAAAGTGGCATAAACATAAAAACTCGGAGGTCCGCGCGGATTTCTCGGATCGGCGCTGGGGCCCCCCGGCGGCGCCTCCGGCGCCGCCCCTGGCGCGCTCCGCGCGCCAGGGAGGGGGTTCCAGCGCCGATCCGAGAAATCCGCGCGGACCTCCGAGTTTCTATGTTTATGTAACTTTTTGTTTGTTCCCCTAAATTTGCCCTCCATTTCCAGTTGAGGGGGGGCGGGGAACATAGCAGAAACACACATGAAGCCCGTACCCCCCCCCCCAAGCCGAAATTCGGGTCTTCGGGTTGGGTTGGGGTGGTCTGGCAGGAAGTCACAGGCGGCGACTCCCCGTCTCCCCCTGGCCGTGGTGCATGGCACGGTTGGATTCTGTCGATTCGGTGGAGTTTTCTGCTTCGGCCGATCTGCGAGCAAAGAGAGCCGACGCACCGCCCCAGAGGAGCAAGCGGCCAGCGACCCCGGCGAGGGGCCGGCGGACGCCGCCTCCAGTGATGACGAGCAGGACTTCGGCGCCGCTGCCAGCTTTGCCTTGAGCGGCCGTCGCGGTGCCACACGCGAGTGCTGCGCACGCGCGCGAGTGCGCATCGCGTTGTCGCTCCGAGTGGATGCAGTGCGCTGGGCTACGGCAGACACGTGCGATAAGAACTCCGCTCCGTGCAAGAGTTGTCGATCTCAGATGGTCCTGCGGTGCCCTAGAGCTTCGGTGTGTCCCTGGGGCCATCGGTCGGCCACGCGTAGGGGGCGGTATGGGGAGGAGGGGGGGAAGGCTTCTGAGAAGCACCCCTGCTTCTTAGAAGGCGCGGGCCTTGTCTAAAGATGCAAGGCTGGCGCCTTCTGAGAAGCAGCCTCCTTTCAGAAAGCCTCCCTCCTTCGAAGGTGCCTCTTGGTATCACGCTACACGGCGGAGCGTCGCACGTGCAGCGAGACGCAGCGTGACCAGAGGCGCGCCGCGCTGTCCCACGTCTGCCGCAGCGCGGCGTGGCGCACACGCACACGCACACGCACACGCATACGCGCACGCGCACGCACCCGCACACGCACACGCACACGCACACGCACACGCACACGCACACGCACATGCGCACGCACCCGCACACGCACTCGCACACACACACAGGCACTTTTTGATCTGCAGGGCGAGAGCGAGCCTCTTCCGCTAAAAGCTCCGCGGGACGCGCACAGCTTTAATTGACAGAGAGGGGGCGAGAGCAGGGGGAGTCCGGGGACAGCGGGTCCGCCACGCGCAGAGGGGGGTGGGGGAAGGGGGGGGGGCTTCCCAGAAGCGCCCCCTGCCTCGCAGAAGGCGCGGGCCTTATCTGTACATTGGAGGGCCGGCGCCTTCCAAGAAGCAGCCTCCTGCCAAAAGAAGCCCTCCCCCCTGCCTCCACCCCCTCGTGCGCGCCGCCAACCAAACGGGGGGCGCAGGACAGGGCCCTGAGGGGGTCTTCAGGGCCCCTGCTGGCCCCCAAGATGGGCCCCGAAGGTCTGAAGGGCCCCTTCGGGGCCCTTCTCTTCGCCTCCTCCTTTGTGTGGCCACCCGTTGCCACCCAGGCCCCGGCTCGAACGGTGTTGTTTGGCGATTTCGTGGGCCGTTTTCGCTTCGATTTCGCCTTGGCAGCAGAGGCGGGTTGGGCACAGAAGGAAGGAACACAGAAACCGAGCGAAAGCGGATAACACCGTTTAGGTTGAGCCCTGTTACCGCCCGCCCGAGCCGCTCGGGGGTCTCCCCTCCCGGTGATGGGCCTGTTTTCCACCACCACCACCACCATGAGCTGGAGGGGGGAAGGAGGTGGAGGAGGAGGAGGAGGGGGAGGAGGAGGAGGAGGAGGAGGAGGAGGAGGAGGAGGAGGAGGACGATGAGGAGGACGAAGAGGAGGAGGAGGAGAAGGAGGAGCACTGTAAACCCAAGAGTCATCAACGATATTGGAGTAAACCCTCCCTCCAAGCGCTCTCTTCATAGGCCCCTGGTTTGTTTCCATTGAGGGAACAGCCTCGTTGGAAGACAAACGTTTGAAGACCCTGAAGCATGCCAAAACATGATTCACGGGATTCCAACGCTACGGATCAAACTGATCGTTGCGTTTTGACCATCCAGAATCGCACAATAATGCCATTCCAGGGACTTAAGAACGCCATTCCAGGGACTTCAACACAGAGAATCAACATAACTGTTGCGCCCGCATAATCCTGAATCCTTCCAAAGAATGTCTGGTACGTTGATGATGAAAACCCGTGAAGCTCTTACAATTTGTGTGCAACGAATGTGCGACGCGCTCAGGCGAGAGCCACATTTTGAAAAGGAGCCGCCCTCAATCCGTGAAGCTCTTGCAGTTTTAACAACGAATGTGCGCCGCGCTCAGACGAGAGCCACATTTTGAAAAGGAGCCGCTCTTAATCCGTAAAACTCTTGCGAACTTTCAGAACGAATGTGCGCCGCGCTCAGGCGAGAGTCACATTTTGAAAACGACCCGCCCTCAATCCGTGAAGCTGTTGCGAACTGTTACACGAATGTACGCCGCGCTAAGGAGAGAGCCACATTTTGAAAACCACCCGCATCCATCTGTGAAACTGTTGCTCATGTTGTAGCTTCAGAGTCATAAATGGTGAGGACGTCTGAAACGTTTGCCATAAAAAAAAACGGGCCTTGGGGTGCGACAGGGATAAGGTATTCATAAGGAAAGGGAGGAGGAGGAGGAGGAGGAGGAGGAGGAGGAGGAGGAGGAGGAGGAGGAGGAGGAGGAGGAGGAGGAGGAGGAGGAGGAGGAGGAGGAGGAGGAGCGGGAGGAGGAGGAGGAGGAGGAGGAGGGAGGAGGAGGAGGAGGAGGAGGAGGAGGAGGAGGAGGGAGGAGGAGGAGCTGGGAGTGAGGAGGAGGAGAGGAGGAGCTGGTGCAGGAGGAGGGAGGAGGAGGAGAGGAGGAGGAGGAGGGAGGAGGAGGAGGAGGAGGAGCTGGTGGCAGGAGGAGGAGGAGGAGGAGGAGGAGGAGGAGGAGGAGGAGGAGGAGGAGGAGGAGGAGGAGGAGGCGGAGGAGGAGGAGGAGGAGCTGGTGCAGGAGGAGGAGGAGGAGGAGGAGGAGGAGGAAGAGGAGGGGGAGGACCCCCTCCCCCTCCTTCTGGTGGTGTCGGTGGAAAGCAAGCCCACCACTCGGCGCGCGGCCTGCGCCCGCCGTGCGGCCGCGGAGGGGGTCGGGGAGCGCACGCGCGCCTCCGCGGCAGGGCGGCGCGGGCGACCAGGCGCTGGTTTCCGCCCGCGGAGGCGCTGGCGCAGCTGGCCGCGGTCGAGGGGGCGGGCGCGAGGACGACGGGCGGGGGGGGGGAGGGAGGGAGGGAGGGAGGGAGGGCGGGAGGCGGGCGGGAGGGAGGGCGGGCGGGAGGAGGAGGAGGAGGAGACGGAGGAGGAGGAGGAGGGATCAGGAGGAAAAGGAGGAGGAGGAGGAGGAGTAGGAGGAAACGGATCAGGAGGAGGAGGAGGAGGAGGAAGGAAGAGAAAAAGAAAAGAGGAGGAAGGAGGAGGAGGAGGCGGAGGATGAGGAGGAGGAGAAGGAGGAGAGGAAGAAGGAGGAGGAGGCGGAGGCGGAGGGCTGATGAGGAGGACGAGGAGGAGGAGGCGGAGGTGGAGGAGGAGGCGGAGGAGGAGGAGGAGGAACAGGAGCAGGAGCAAGAGCAGGAGCACGAGCAGGATCAGGAGTAGGAGGAGGATGTGATGATGATGTTGCTGCTGCTGCTGCTGCTGCTGATGATGATGATGATGATGATGATGAGGAGGAGGAGGAGGAGGAGGAGGAGGAGCAAGAGCAGGATCATGAGCAGGAGGAGGAGGGGGAGAGGTGGAATGTCCGTCTTCGGCGGGTAGCGCGTTTCTCTTCACTAGTACTATGTGCGCGTCGACCGCCCAGGGGCGACGCGCGCACATGCTATATGCGTCGTGGCTGGCGGCTGGCGCTTTCTGGCCGTACTTGCAGTTGTCAACTCCGCTGCTCGCGCAATCATCCCACCCACCCACCCGCAACTTGGTTTGCAAACCCCATGCGGAAGCGATTGCGATGAGTGCTTGTTGTTGGCTGCTGCATCTCTGCGGCCGCGCTAGCCCTCGCATGCTTGCGCGCGCAGCGGCCAGCTAGTTTGGCGCGACCGACGCGAACGTGGTGGCGCTGACCGCTCGGCACATCCCAGCGGGCACTTCAATGCGAGTCGACTTGGGCGGGGGCGGTATCATGACAACGTCGACAACAGTAGACACGATGATGATTGTAGCGATGCTGGCGACGATGCTGACAGCGACGACGGGGCAGCCAGTGACGGCGCCGATGCTGATCACGCCGACGACGATGACGGCGTCTTCGCGTCGGTGATGCAGGTTTCGAAGGAGGTCGAAATACGCGCGTGGCACACGCGTGAGCGTGGCCCGCGTGGTACTATTATCTAATTGCTTCGTTCATTCCGCCGGCCCATATTGCGTCGCCGCTGTCGTTTGTCGAGGTGTTGTTGTCAATGCGGTGCGTATGGGCGGCTGCCATTTTTCGGAGGCGGTGAGTGGCGGGTCAGAGGCCTTACGGATGTTGGTTGGGCTCTCGTGGCTGGCCTCTCAAGGGGCCTTTGGGAGGCAGTTTTGAGGCCTCTTGGGGGCCGTGTTGGGGCCTCTTGGGGCCTCTTGGGGGCGTCTTGGGGCTTCTTGGGGTGCCTCTTGGGGGCCCCGTGGGCCTCTTGGGGCCTCTTGGGGCCTCCTAGGGGCCTCTTGGGGCTGTCTTGGGGCTCTCTTGGGCCGTCATGGGTGCCTCTTGGGTTGTCTTGGGGCCATCTTGGGCCGTCTTGGGGCCCTCTTGGAGGCTTCGTGGGCCGTCTTGGGCCGTCTTGGAGCGCCAGTACGCCGAGAAGGCGAGAACGCCAAAAACCGTCAGAAACTGAAGGGGAATCACGCATTTCTGCCCCTGTGTGCCCTCTTGGGAGGTGTCTTGGAGGCCTCTTGTGGCGTCTTGAAGGCGCTTTGGGTTGTATGGAGGCAATCTCTGGCTTCTTGGATCGCTCTTGGACCGTCTCGGGCCATGTTGAGCTCTCTTGGAGGCCACTTGAAGCGCTCTTGAGAAATTGCCGGGGCCTAGCCAGGATCTGCCCAGGACCCGGCCGAGACCTGCCCGGGATCTTGCCGGGACCTTGCCGGGATTTGCGGGGGTACTTTTCGTCTGGGGACCCCAGGGGCGGGCGGCCCCGCGCGCGCGAATTTGATTGAAATGTTAACGAGTTGCCGGAAATCTTAGTACGCCCTTGGCCCGTTGGGCCAGCGAGTTTGACGCGGATCTTGCCACCCCAGCGCGCGCGTAAGGGCGTTCGAACGATTTCGACATGCGCGCTCGCGAAGCCCGTTTGGTAGCATTTTGCGTATGAAGTTGTACAACATGCATGGTTTTCTTAGGAATTCGCAAGAACGCGCGCATTTTTGGTTTGTTTGAAATCCGTGCTGCGAAACGTCGCATTTTTGTTATATGTTTCTTGGACACTCGATTTTTACATCCTTATGGAACCCTCGATTTTTGAAGGATTCCGGCATGCGCGCGCGACGACGCGTGCGTGTGCAGTTTATTTTTTTTTGTTTTTTTTTTTTCTCCCCCCTCTCTTTATGGAAAGGATAATGTATAATATGTTCGGGTCGGACGCGCGTTTCCGAGGAGGACGCATAGTACTAGCCTATTTTTGTGCGTCCCAGACGAGGATGTGGGATGAGGAAGAGGAGGGGCAGGAGGAGGAGGAGGAGGAGGAGGAGGAGGAGGAGGAGGAGGAATGGGATGAGGAGGTAGGGGAGGACCATTGGGGGAAGAGGAAGAGGGAGACCGGAAGGAGAGCTGCAGCAGAGGGCAGCACCGGGCAGCGCAGGGCAGCACCAGAAAGCAACAGCAGGGCAGCGGATAGTTGGTGAGAGCAGCAGGGCAGCGCTCGCACTGGGACTCGCTCGCTGTAGGTCAACGGCTCAGAGGGTCCTCGAGCGCGGGCAGCAGATGGAAGTGCGAATTGCGATCGAGCGTCGTCGAAGGCACCGTGAACGAGACGTCGGACACGGGGATGCAACCGATGGGTGATGGATTGGATGGCTTGGACTTGTTCACGCAAAGTCTCACTCACCCTCAGACTCGCTCGCGTTCAGACACTTCTGGAGGAACCCGCAGGCACGTGTATACGCATCTGGGGATACCCGCGTCGCGGGGACGCGCTGCAGCTTGATATGGTGAGGGGAAGAGGAAAAGTGGAAACATGGGGGGGGAGCGGGGGTATGAGCAGCCGCGATGGGGACTGGGGCGAAGGCAATGGGAGAGCGGACGGGGCAGAGGCTTAGGGGAGGGCAGGAAATGGAACGGGACGGGGGCGTTGAGACGGAGTGCGAGAAGTACGACGGGGGGCGCGTCCCCCACCCCTCCCCGTCAAGCACCCATTCCTGGACCCTCCGCCAGTGCGTTACGAGCAGCCCTCCTTGAGGGGAGCCAGGCCCTTGCGACGAGGAGAGGCCCTCGGGACAGCCCAGCGGAGATCCTCGCGCAGGCATCTCGAGGTGTCTCGAAGCCTCCAGGGGTTCCATAGGGGGCCTTCGGAGGGCCCCCTGGAGCCCCTGGAGGCCCCTGGAGGCCCTGGGTCGCCCGCCGAGGGCTTCCGGAGGCCTGCCGGGAGTTCCCCGGAGGCGCTCCGAGGGCGCCCGCAGGGCGGGGGGAACGTGCCCGCGCCAGGAGATGCTGGCAGCGTTGTGGGAGCCGAGCGCGGTCGCGCGGCTGTGGCGGCTGGCGGGCGACGTCGACTCCGGGGGCGCGTCGGGCGCGCGCCGGGGCACTGGCGCGGTGGAGCACGCCCTGCGCTGCCTTGCCCTGGTGGGCGCGCGCGCAGGCCCAACGACGACGACGACGGCGACGACGACGACGAAGACGACGGCGTCGGCGGCGGCGGCGGTGGCGACGCAGGTCCGACGGTGACGACGACGACGGCGACGACGACGACGGCGACGTCGACGCCGACGACGCCGACGCCGACGCTAGCGCCGACGCCGTCGCCGACGCCGACTGCACCGCCGCCGCCGCCGCCGACGACGACGACGAAGACGACGACGCCGACTGCGCCGCCGCCGCCAACGGCGACGACGACGACGACGACGATGCCTCCCATGACGCGGGCCCGACGGCGACGAGAACGACGCAGGCCCGACAGCGACGACGACGATAACGTCGACGACGATGACGGCGACGGCGACGGCGACTGCGACGGCGACGGCGACGGCGGGTGCGGCGGCGACGACGACCATGACGCAACACCCGCCGCCGCCGCCGCCGCCAATTACAACGCCGACGACGACGCCGACGATGTCGACGCCGCCGACGAGGAGGACGACAACGATGACGACGACGACGGCGACGCCGACGACGCCGACGAAGACGTCACGCCGACGACGACCGACGACGCCGACGCCGATGCCGACGGTGCCGCCTCCGCCTCCGCCTCCGCTTCCGCCGACGCCGCCGCCGCCAACGACGACGCCGACCGCGTCGACGCCGCCGACGACGACAACGACGATGACGACGGCGACGCCGACGACGACGACGACGAAGACGACGCTAACGCCGCCGACGCCCGACGACGCCGACGCCGACGCCGACGCCGACGCCGACACTGCCGCCTCCGCCTCCGCTTCCGCCGACGCCGGCGCCGACGCCGGCGCCGCCGCCACCGACGCCGCCGACGGCGACGACGACGACGACGACGCCGACACTGCCGCCTCCGCCTCCGCTTTCGCCGACGCCGACGCCGACGACGCCGCCGCCGACGACGACGACGACGATGACGATGTCGACGACGACGCAGGCCCGATGGCGACGACGACGACGACGACGACAACGACGACGACGATGACGACGGCGACGACGACGGCGACTACGACGGCGACGGCGACGGCGGGTGTGGCGGATGCGGCGGCGACGACGACGACGACGGACG